GGTTTAAGTACTTTAAGCCCAACAAAAACCATAAAGAAGGGAATTTCCATGATGCTTTAAATACTAAAGCCTTACTTGCCAACAGGTTAGTTAATTTATTATTTCTCTTTCTATGATAAATCCCAAAATAACGAGATTATCGTTCTTGGCTATCATATCTTGGATGAAACTCGAGTCTTCTAATGTTATTGATGATGTTTAAAATCTTCTCTAGCACTGACTTATCGATTCTCCATGAAATTAAATACTATACTCAGATCCCAAATTTGTTGATCTAGAGACACCCTAAAACTCTTTGAAATCTAAACTCAGTCCATTCCATTGATCGGAATCATGAAAATCGGGTATCAATAAATCAACATATTTACAAATAATTATCATAAATGATAAATCAATCAAATGTTTGATTGATGTGGCCTTGAACGCTTGATTTTGGTCAAGATGATTGTGAAGGTTCCTTATATCTAGGCAACTTGGCATGAAATAGTGATGTCTTGAAAGTCTCTTGATGGTTTGTGAGGTCTCCAAACAAGATAGATCGAATAAATCAAGAAGATATATCCGTTTGACCAGATTTGACATAATTAGCATCAGATAAGAAAACTTGAGGTGTGAAGAGATCCGCTTGATCTCCTGCTTGCTGGTCCATATGTAGTCATTCCATGGAACCTCTTGATGATAGAAAAGTCTCCTGGATGCCAAAGATAAGTCTGCAATGATCCAAATAAGGAAATGTCTAAAATTGGATAATTTTGGATCACCCGGTTTATGATCTTGGTTCTCATCAGCTCTAAACCGTTCTGGGTTTGAGTCTTGATTCACTGTGGGTCCTTGATGGATCAAGAATATGGACCAAGTCGGATCTTAGCTTAAATCTTTGTGGTTGGGCTAGAATCTTTCAAGAGATGCTCATATGTCCTTATCCGCCCATATGAATAATTGTAGGTTTGTGGGCTTGATTGGACTGGTACTCCTTGAGTCTCCACGGTTTTGGGCTGTTGAGGAGTTCTTCAAGATGTTCCATGGTGGCTTGGGGTCGAGCTGCATCTTCTCTGGCTCGTCGTTTTCATCTTCTGATTTGGATGACCGCATCTCCTCCTTCCTTTAATCTTGGTACCTAGACACTTTGAATCAAGGCGCACTTTCGACTGGTTCAAATGCAACTTTCTGGGAAAGACCTTCTTTTTCCATCCTCCAGGTACCAGAGAAGAAGGCAGACCTCTGAATGTATGCCAAAAGGCCTTTATCCACCTTCATTCCAAAGGCAAATATTTCAATTTAGTGACTAAAAGATCTGCTGATAGATGGGATTAGTATGATACTTATGAGATCGATCTCCTTGCAGAACCTATCCTAAAGAAAATTCAGCGAGAAAGAAGGAAAAGAAGTAGAATCAATCAACGGTTGCTGAGATACAAGATGCTTACCAAAAGAGGTCAGTGTATCAAATAGTTTTTTCCCGATTTCCCACTTCTTCTGTGAAGATGAAGACATAAGCATTGCAAAATTATTTTTAGAGGACGAGAAGCAAGCTACAACTCATTATACTGCTCACACCACACTAGAGAACATATTAGCTCGAGTAGATGAAGTCGAACCAAACAAATCTTAGAAACGGCCCAGTTGAAGAACTGTTTTAAACTCGACTTTCCATGGTAAATGATAACACCACAAACTCAATATAATCTGGCCAAATTCCGGTCATAATTAAAATATGATTCTAAGAATAAATAGTTATACAATCTTCCCGATTTTTGACAATTTCAAAAGCAAAAAAAAAAATTAAAACTTTTTTACCTATTTCTAAAAAATTCCCCATATTTAAACTCAAATCTATTCTAATAAAAATAGCTGTTTGAGGTTACTGAGGACTGAGTGTCCACGTCAATCAGGAAAACCAAGCCTAAAATCGTGCCACATCAGCATTCTATCTTTTACGAGTCAAGCCTCAAATCTACAAACGAACTACCAGTGAGAAATCTCTATTTTTACACATGTAAGTTAACCCTTTATTTTTCATTTCTTCCTCTTTTCATTAATTTTGTCGTTTCTTTTTCTCCTCCGTCCGAAACTCACTCTTTTCATCAACAACTGGTTCAAATTCCCTCTTTTCGAGCCAAATCGTAAACTTCTCTCTATTCGCATCTACTTGCCTACTTTTGTTTACAAAGATTACGATTAGTCTGGAAATACAATCTTTTGTTCAGATTGTACGTTGTAGCATGACTGTACTTTAAAATTCCTCAAATCGACTCTGCCTTTTAAGTAAGGTCTGGGATGGATGGCATAGACGGAGGACATAGAAAGCTTCTGAACAAAAAGCCGGAGGAATGGTCTGGAGGAAGAGGAGGCGGACTTGGGTGTTCAGACCCGGTTAGTTGCAAGAAGCTCTGTATGCCTTGATTAAGACGATGATTAGTATGAAAAACCATTATACTCTGTAGCAAATCATGTAAGGGTTTCCTTTTACCAGCAACAGTTGAAGTCTCTTAGATTTTGTTGTGCTAAATTTGATGATAAATTCATGTGTATTCCTTTTTTATGTTCCATTTTGCTAATAGCTGCGCCTGTCTGTCCTTTACAAGGAGTTAAAGGACTACAATTTCTACGTTCACAACAATTGTGTCGTAAGTTCTAAAATTTTCATTCTCTAATTGGTCCATATTGTCTCTGTGGGCTCTGTTTGGTTGGCTATTTTCTGGTTAAGTGTTTAACATAGGCTACATTTTTCTTTTCCTTCGGGAGCTCAGTGACTGTAATGCCTTAGATTTTATATGAGGTCAAGTGAACGGTTCAACTGATTAAACAAAGATTATGATGTTTTTAAGAATAAATCAAAATTTAGAACCATGTCGGTTTAACTACATTCAAATGCTTCATTGTTTTAGATAATTGCAACAACCTACTATAATATTAATGGTTTTCATTGCAATCAGGCATGATCAATGATGTTTACGTCGTCCTCTATGTGAGACAGAGTATTGCCATTATTGTCGGGAAAAGATCATCAGACTTCCACATCTATATTAATAGTCCTTTGTATTCATTTCAAGGTTTTTCTCTACGTTTTGGAGTTAAAGGTTATGAATTGATAAGATATCAAAGACTCAACTTAGCAAAATGAGTTATATGGAACTAAAATTTATTCATCTTTATCAATTTATTGGTTCTTATATATATATGAATTACGTCCTCTCGAAATTTGGACCATTAATGTTAATTTGTTGGGATAAATGATAGAAGTTATGCTTAAGAAATCCACTCGCCTAGAGGTAAGTCCTCAAGCTTTCATATATAGTGTATCATTTCCTTCAAACTATGGTATTTTCCTTTGTCCACTGGATTAAGGCTTTGATGGAAAGTTATGCCCAACATATCAAATGGTTTTCTTTGCTCACAATTTGTTTATTTTACACTATACTAGCAAATCATTTGGCCTATATGTCGTCTTACATAACATTTACACTTCCACTTCCATTCATGTTGTACTTGTCATAGTGACTGATCCAAAATACAGCAGAGAAACATTGACAGCCAAGGAGAACAACAACGACGTGCAGAACCCAGATAGGGCAAGAGTTTTTCTGATTCAAACATTTGGTCAATGTTATAGATTGGCTCATGGCAATGTGGTTCTCGAAAGGCTTTTGCACTAAATGAATAAAGTATAATGATGCATAATCGCTTTTTCGTAATCCAATTGCAGTTTTTGTTGGAGGTGGGCTTAGCACTCCTAATTAGTTAGGTCCATCTTAAATAATAAAGCCCATGGATCAAGTCAACAGAAGCCCAGCCAAAGTCATCAAGTCCAGTCAGCATGGCCCCGCCCAAATCGTCATCATCACGACACCGATCTGCAGTGCCCGGAGCCGAGCAGAACATGACACGTGTAGAAGCAGTTCGTCTACAGTGGCCTATCTGCGCAGGTAGCTCGGCGAAGGACCATCATCACTCGCCGTGGAGTGGTTCAAACGCGCGGCTCGAGATGTCATACCCGCGGGATGCGCTGGAACTGCCACGTCGTCCCGATTTGGAGGAAACTCGTCTTCCAACATCCGCTATAAATACTCCTCATAGATCATTTATGACCGAATACGAAATTTATGACACTCTCTCTCTACATTAAGACTCTAGCCGAGCTCTCTGTAACTGACCTTTAGAACACCGAACTGAACTCTCTTCAGATTTAGTTCGAAATTCTAAATATCCTCTCTTTATCAAATCACATACGATTCTGACCTGAATTCTTTTCTTCCTCCAAACTAAATCATTCTTATTAAACGGAAATATCGCCCCTAACTCATCATTAAACAAACTTATCATTTCATAAACATACTTAGTGATCTCAAGGATCAACAATTGGCGCTAGAAGGACCGGGGGGGGGTTTAGAGTTTCTACACGCAAAAGAAGAATTTAGAAATGGCAGGAACACTGCCCTCAACCTCAGGAATGTCAAAATCATCGCCATCGATAGCCAAATCGACAACCACGACACCCGCAGCGCTCACGCCGCCCTCGTCAGTTCTCCATCCCAAGGAGACCGCCACGCTGACAGAGATCAGGGTGCCAGCACCACAGCAACCAGCACCGCCGCTCATCCTAGAGTCCGTGCTGACAGATAGCACACCCCACCTGATCCTGGAGCCAATGGCATTACCAGCAAGTCAAATACATGTCACTCCGCACGCATCAGCCGACCAGTCCACTCCGGCAAGCGGAGAGCACGCCCTGGCTCCTCTGCTCCATTTCTTGCTCGACCAAATGGACGAGATGACCCGGCAAACTGACCGGAGCCCACACAAACCAATCGAAAAACCACAGGTCCTTGATCGAGTAAGACCTAGAAGAAGCCCATCGTTCGGAAGTGCTGCGCCTACAAATAAACCTCTTCGGCGACTCCCCAACCAATTCAGCGGGACCATGCCGGAGATCCGCCCAACAGACAAATCACTCGGCCAAAATGCCCCCTCAGTATTCTAGCCCGGAAGTGTTCCGACAGATGGCCGTGGAGCGAGACCGCGACGCGGAAATTGAGGCCATCAAGGCAAAAATCCGCGAGATGAACTCCAAGGTCCATCGAGCCACGAGTTCGGCCCCGAAATAGATCGTGTCCTGCAGGAGACGCAGAACACGCCTTTCACACACCGAATCGCCTCCACTCCTTTCCGCCACTTCAGCAAAGTGAAGCTCCCACCATATGCCAGAAACACCGATTACACGCAGTATCTAACGGCATTCACCATCGCCATAGGACGAGCTCACTTCACACCCAAAGAGCGCGAAGCCGGATACTGCCAACTCTTCGTGGAGAATCTGGTCGGCCCCGCCCTGACTTGGTTCTCCTGGCTGGAGACGCATTCAATCGATAGTTTCAAGACGCTTTCAACCGCTTTCCTCAAACATTATTTTATATACATCCAGCGTTCTGCCTCAACCGCCGATCTCTGGGCCTTGAGCCAGGGACGGAAACAGTCACTATGGTCGTTCATCGAGCGCTTCAAAGCGACGGCCTCCCGAGCCTCGGTATCGGATAAGTCCGCCATCCCAGCCTTGAGGAAGGCCTTCCATTTCGAATCGGCCTTCAAGGATGAGCTAAAGCTCAATGAGCCACGGACCCTGGAAGACGCGTTACATTGTGCCAGGCTATTCATCAAAGTCGAGGAGGAGAGGGCAAGTCTCAGGAAGCTCGCTTCCCAGAAAAACCCGCCTCAAAAGGAGAAAACTCAGGACGAGTATCAGGAGCCCCGCCAACACTACGACGAGGAATATCAGCGCAGGCAGGCCGCGACCTTCCTCGTCAGTGATGCACCGACCTCATGTCTCGTCGAAGAAGCCCTAGCTGTCTTCCACATGGACGGCTCTCACTGCGCAGTCGATACGCAGAACAACCGACCTGAGACAATTATCCCCAGCCCGTCCCAATAATACTATCAGCAACCTCTCCTGTCAAACAAATGGTATCAAACTGCGAGGCGACACCCCCGGCACAGGTTGTCTCCCCTCAAGAGCAAGCCGCCACCCCCCCGACCAAAGACAACCAGGCTTTCTGTGAGTACCACCATTTGAAAGGGCACTCGACCGAGCAGTACCGCAAACTGCAAGAAGCCCTCCTAGCTCAATACCAGAAAGAAGAAATAAGAGTCCCCGACCAACAGCAGCCGCGAGGGAGTAATGGCCGAAGTCGAAACGATAACCAATGTTGTCGAGACAACCGAGCTCAGCAGGACAATCGACATCAGCGATCTCCCTCTCGCGAGGATAACAGATTTCAACCCGTCCAACCGCAGGTCACGCCTCAAAGACAAGCGTCCCCACCGCCAACCCGGACAATGATTGGAATAATCATGGGTGTCCTCCTGTCCTGTACAACTCGGTTCGGTCGATCAAAGTTCATGAACGAAAGTCCACCCCGACGGAGATGTGGGTGGCCAAGATAAGAGAAACCAATGCTCAGGACACAAGCGGTAGGGGAATAACGTTCTCCAAGGAGGACGCTAAGGGCGTCGACCAACCTCACCATGACTCCTTGTCATCCAAATTCGCGTAGCCGACTGCGACGTGACTCGGGTACTCGTCAACACGGGCTGCTCGGTATATCTCATCTTCAAGGAAGCCTCGAGAAGATGGACCTGCGCGGCGTCGAGATGAAGCCGTCCCTCACTCCCCTGACCGGCTTCGCCGGAGACACCATCACGGCGGTAAGGACCATCAAGTTGCCGGTCTACGTAGACCGGGTAACAAAGATAGTCAAATTCACCGTCGTTGACCGGCCAGCCATATACAACATCATCCTCGGAACCCCTTGTCTGCACTCGATGAAGGCGGTCACCTCGACCTATCACCAGTGCCTCAAATTCCCCAACCAGGCCGGAACATTCACAGTCCGGAGCGACCAGAGAGTCTCGTGTTTGTGCTTCATAATCGAGCACAAAGTTCGCAACGCCGCCCGCACTCAGCTCTGCGCGACGATAAGCCCCAAAGGAGTTCCTATCTGCAACGTCGTCGGACCAGAGTAATTCAGACTGGATGTACTCCTAGTTTCTACTGCAATAGAACAATGATGTAGTTGTAATATAAAGGATTCGGAATCCAGAGGACAAGTGTTACTCTATGATTTTGCGAGGAGTGAATTAAAGCTAAGACGAAAGATGGTTTGTTGCGAAAACTAAAAAGTAAACAGAATGGCAAACAACGATTTAAATTCAAATTAAAACAAGCACTAGACCAAAGCAATTCGCAGGAATTTCAGAGATAAGAACCAGATGACTATTCAGGGCACAAGTGTAACGCAAGTCTCGAACTCAAACAGAAAAGCTTATCGATCCACCGTCGTGATCTCGATAACTTTGTCTAACAACCTAAATCCTAAACTGTCGTTTGAACTTAGAAAATTGCAGACAAGCATTAGCTAGCAGGTTTGATCTGTTCACGATTTGCCTTAACTTCAACTGTCGTTGGCTAAGGACAAATAGCTCACCAATGTTTATTCTAGCAACCTATTACACTTTTGATGAATAGATTAACCTAAAATCGCAGATTGAGTGATCAATTCAACCTAAACATTAAGTCTAACAATGGTGAAGACAATAGATATCAAGCCCTATTTGCATCTAATTCTTTAACTCATGAAATCCTTTGAACGCTTTAATCTAGCTAAGAGATCTACTCAGACATGGAGAAAAGAAACACAGCAACAGATAAAAAGAAATTCATGGATTAAAATCGCAGAAGAGATAATAGGGTTCATAATTCTTCTCAAAGTGTAGCAGATTTCTTCTCCCAAAAGCTTACAAGTAAAAACTCTCTGGTTCAGGAAATTGTAAAAAGAAAGCGTAGAAAGTCTGTAGAAAAACGTGATAATAAAACACAGGCGGCTGTAGACTTTTTATTCTCTTTCTCCTCCTAAAATTAGGTAAAAGTCGATTTCCTTATTTTTCTCCCGTCTGGAGCAGGTGCTCCACGAAGGGTCCAAACCGGGAGCCGGTGCTCCGCGGATGATTTCTCCAAAAGCGTGTGAAATAGGTCCTTATTGCTCCAATTCATCTCCTTTTGCTCTAATGCCTCCTAAACACTCCAATCCTCTGATAAGGCCTCTAAGTCACCTGAAACTTCCTGAAAAGACTCCAAAAACTCCTAAAACAATCAGTAAACACAGGTTAGAATGAGTCAAAATCTCCACTCATCAACTCCCCCGAACTTGAATCCTTGTTTGTCCTCAAACAAACTCAAATTCAACTCCAAAAGAATAACTAGATAAAGCTGGGAACTCGCAAAACTCAAAAGACCGTAAACCTGACCAAGGCATGTGACAATCTGCTGCAAAATCAATCAAAAATCTAACCTCCATGTACTTCTCCGTAGATGCTGCAGCTTTCCAGATTAGTCCCTCAATTTCATAACATCATCCATGTCCCATCATCGCTGAGTCTCATCGATAAAACTAGTGATAAGGACCTTCTAGACTCGTTCCCATACTTATACCTTAACAAATTGACCATACTACACAAAAGTACCTTTCCTCTCCCCCCGAACTTATTCACTTTTCAAGCTGTTTCGTTTTTTTTTTTTTTTTTTTGGCATATATAACAAGGTTCAAAGACGCGAGTATTGATGGTGATTGCCACCGAATCCCCTGTTTGTCCCCTCATTATATATCAAAGGTGTAGGCGAATAATGGGGTCACAGGAAATTTTCCTACCCCTCGCTTCCATCCCTTGTGTGATCATTCCACTTTAGAAGTAAAATAATGGGATCCTTGGAAATTTTCCTAACCCTTTAATTCTAAAAGAAAATCATTTCAATCTTTTCTGCCTCTTTTTTTTTTTTTTTTTTTTTTTTTAAGAAACAGCCTGAAACAATGCTTAGAACATGAGAGAGGAATACCAAATCTATCACACAGGTCTTTATTTGTCAGGTAAGAATGAGGAGTCAAGCCCTATGAGCACTAACCTGATTGATGAGGAAAATGAAGAGCTGAGAAATTAGCTCAGGTTCAATGGATTAGTCAAGAATTTTGGGCTCCTCTAGTCTACTGCTTTGTCTTTGGATTTTCCATTAGTCGATCTAGATGATTCTGCAGTAATAATCACTAAAAGAAGATGGTCAAGATTCACAAATGGTCTGAAATCATCATAGAATTGGTCCTCATTCCCACAAGCTTTGACTTGACTCATATAACCAACTGACTCAAAGAAACTAAATGACTCAAACAAACAAACTAAAAACTGACTCAAAGAAAGTACTAAAAGGAAGAAAGCAAAAGAAAGAAGTACAAGGGACACGACCCTCCCCCGGACTTACTTCACACCGTCCCCGGTGTAAAAATAAGCTAGAGAAGTGTCCAGAAAACTTACCTGGTTCGCACATGTAGAGCACCTAGCGGAGCAGGTGCTCCGGAACAGAGCTAGATGCTCCCTCGTCTTTTGTTCGTCTGGAGCAGGTGCCGGAGCAGGTGCTCCGGTTTCCCTTGGGTTGCTCCTTCGTCACTTTTTACGTGGTGAGCACCCTGTGGAGCAGGTGCTCCGACTGGGGAGGGAGTGCTCTTTCGTCAGTTTTTACGCTTTGAGCAACCAACCCAGCAGATAGAGCAGGTGCTCCGGTTGGGTGCTCTTCCTTCTTCTTCCTCACATCTTCTCTTCCACGTTGAACAACTTCTTACCTGTTTTCTTTTTTTTTTTTTTTTTTTTTGAAACAAAGAATCTAAAAACAAAGTTAGTAGCTAAGAATAAAAGAAACAAAGTTAGAGACTCTTACCGGTGGGTTGCCTCCCACCAAGCGCTTGTTTTAAGTCATTAGCTTGACTTGGAAAGCCATTTAGGCTTGAGGAGGATCGCTTAAGGTGACTGACTCACCTTCTGCGATATTTGGACCAGCAAGGTATGGTTTCAACCTCTGTCCATTGACAACAAACTCGCCTCCTTTAGTGTCCAGCAACACTACAGCTCCATATGGTCGAACCTCCTTGATGGTGAATGGTCCAGACCATCTTGATCTCAGCTTCCCTGGAAACAATTTCAATCTAGAGTTAAAGAGCAATACCTGATCCTTTGGTACAAAGCTTCTGTTGAGGATCCTCCTGTCATGGAAAGCTTTTGTCCTCTCTTTGTAAATCTTCGAGTTTTCATAGGCCAGGTGCCTAATTTCCTCCAGCTCATGCAACTGCATTACTCTCCTCTCCTGAGCACTCTTTGCATTGAAATTCAGCAGCTTCACTGCCCAAGCAGCTTTGTACTCAAGTTCCACTGGAAGATGACATGCTTTTCCATACACTAAGTGGAATGGTGTAGTCCCCAAAGGTGTTTTGTAAGCTGTTTTGTATGCCCAAAGAGCATCATCAAGCTTCACTGCCCAATCCTTCCTTGTGGTGCTCACAGTCTTCTGCAGAATGTTCTTGATTTCCCTGTTGGAAACCTCAACTTGCCCACTCGTCTGAGGATGGTATGGGGTCGCCACCTTATGCCTTACACCATTCTTCTTCAACAAGTTTTCAAAGACTTTGTTGATGAAGTGAGAGCCTCCATCGCTAATCACCACTCGCGGCACACCAAACCTGGGAAAAATGACAGATTTGAACATCTTTAAAACCACCTTTGCGTCATTTGTGGGACTAGCCAGAGCTTCCACCTACTTTGACACATAGTCAACTGCCACCAGAATATACTCATTCCCATAAGATGATGGAAAAGGTCCCATGAAGTCTATACCCCACACATCAAAAATCTCCACTTCCAAGATGAAATTCTGAGGCATCTCATTCCTCCTGCTGATGTTTCCTTGTCTCTGACATGTGTCACATCTGGAGATAAAACTCGCTGCATCTCGAAACATCGTTGGCCACCAATATCCAGCTTGGAGAATTTTCGACACAGTCTTGAAAGTGGCGAAGTGGCCTGCATAAGAGGATCCATGGCAATGAAACAACACTC